GATGCTGCTTGGCCTGCTGTGTTCATCCAGCCCTGCACCTTGTTGTCTCGGATTCTCCAGCATCTGCAGTTCCTACTATCCCCTCTTCTATGCTGTATTATGTTAAGGTTGTATGACATGAGATGGCCAATAGGTGGAGCTAGTTTACAAAAAAGGGACAGCTTTCATGGTAGTAACTGCCTTCACCTAAACACATTCTTATATTCCAACAAGCCCTAATCTAAGATAACAAGGTGTAGAGCTGGATGAACACGGCAGGCCAAGCAGCATCAGGGGAGCAGGAAAGCTGACGTTTCGGGTCTGGACCCTAAGTCCCTTTATAATGTCAAGGTTTATCATCTTACTACAATGATTCATTCCTCAATTTCAGAAGTACTGTTACACATATTTAACATTGAAAAAAGGTTAGAGACTATTAAAATGAAAGTAAAAGCTGAACATTTATATAATATAATATAATTAAGTCTGGTCAACATGGTTCCATGTAGGGGTTCATGCCTAACAAACTTATTATCATTCTTTGAGGAGGAACAAGCTGGATAAAGAGGAACATAGCATACTTGGATTTTCAAAAGGCATTTGATAAGGTACTGCACACTAGGCCACTTAATAAGGTAAGAGCCTAAGGTTTTGTGTGATAGTACATGAGCATTGATAGAGATGGCTAATTAATAAAAGACAGACAGTTAGTATAAAGGAGCATTCTCAGGATGGCAATCTTTAATTAGTGGAGTGCCACAGGGATCAATGTTGGGGACACCATTATTTACAATACAGAGGTCCCAGATTTATATGAACATCTGAGTTACAGGCGCTCATTTATAAATGTGATCCTGTAGAGTGATGTATCAATAATAATTTTAAAGATCCAACAGACAAGTGTTTCCTTTTACTTACGAACAGTTATTTCATATTGTCCTGCATTTTGTTCCAAATTGCATGCAAATCAACTTGCAAACAGACTCACGAATGGAACCCATTCGCAACCCGGGGACTGCTGGTATATATTTAATGACTTGGATGAGAGAATAAAGTGTACTGTCACCAAGTTTGTGGGCAGTGTTGATGATGACGCAAAGTCTACATAGAGATATGGACAGGTTAGTGAGTGAGCAAAAACTTATAGGAAAATGTGAGGTTGTGTACTTTTGCAAGAGTAGGGGAGCTCAGTACCATTTAAATGCAGAAAGCTATAGAACAGAGGGATTTGGTGGTTCTCATGCATGCATCATAAGCTAGCAAAGAAGTTCAGGTCATAGGGAAGGTAAATGGAATGTTGGCTTTATAAAGGAAATGGGAGTATAAAATTAGGGAAATTTTGTTAAAACTAGAAAAGGCACTAGCTAGACCACCCCTAGAATACGATGAATGGTTTTGATCACCTTATCAAAGGATTGCTATATTGGCATTGAAGGCAAGAAAGATTTAGTAGGTTGGTCCCAGGTATGGAGGGCTTGTCTTATGACGAGAAGTTGACTACATTGGGTCTGTACTCATTGGAAGTTAGGAAAATGAGAGGAGACCTTTTGGGAAAATACACACTTCTTCGGGCACTTAACAGTATAAGTGCTGATAGGTTGTTTTCCTTGTGGGAGATTCTAGGACGAGAGCATATAACTGGTGACACCTTACTCTGAAATTAAGCAGATAAGGAGGAATTTCTTCTCGGGGGTAGTGAAACTGTGAAATTCTTTCCCACAATGGACTATAGAGGCAAGATCGTTGAGTATAGTCAAGGCTGAAATATAGAGATTTTTATTCAGTTGGGAGTCAAAGGTCATAGGCAAAAAGTAGGGAAGCAGAGTTGAGGATTATTGGATCAGCCATGATCTTACTGATCAGCAGAGCAGACTTAGATGGGTTGAATGACCTACTTTTTGTTCTTATGATTTACTCTTATTATTTACTTTTTCGATGCAACTAAATAAGCATCCTTATATTCCCTTGTTCACATTTTTTTTTCAAATCTTACGATTATGTTTGGTTCATTTGACAGCAAGGTGTGTACCTGTGCAGCATCCAAAGCGTTGAATACAGCAGTGCCATCGGTATCAGGTCTCACTGCAACTACATGGGCAGGCACTCTGGCAAGGTGGCACATCTTCCAATCTGTTACTTCAGCACGACTTCCATCACGACACAGAAGCTCATAATCACTTGAATGAAGATTCTTTGCCCATTTTGTAGGATTACTTCCTGAAAAGCAGTTTATTGCATGCTTTGGCTAAATCATACTGAATTAATATTTCACAACTAGTATGGTTATGATTTACCACACCTAACTAGAAATTGTGGCTGACCTTTTGTAACACTTACTGAGTCTGCAGTACAAAAAGCAACAGTTTATCAGTGATGCCTAAATCAGCATTTCTTTAGTCATTCGTTGGGACAATGTATAGCATTCCTTGACACCAAATGATTAACATAGGCTCAACAGTGATTGATTTGAGCTCAAGTGCCCTACCACTTGAGCTGTAAGTTTGCATCAATCCCAAATCTGTTGTGATACTGAAATAAAATCAAGCATTTCATACAAAACAAAGAAAGATTGGGAGATGGGGGAAGGAAGGGGGATAAAGAAACAAGCAATCCTTGAACAATCTCACAGCTGTCACAGTGACACAATTACAAACAGTCATTTTCCAGTACCATAGTGTGCCATGCCACTCAACCAGGCACAGCTCCAGGGCTCTTGTGTATGTTACTAAAGGGCTTATGTCATCTCTACCATATATCTGAGTTGCAGTTGGTGCTGTTCTGATTTGAGCTGGCAGCATGCTTTTCTTTCAAGAACTCTGAAAGCAGGTGTAATCCAGACCTCCTACACTGGATGTAACAACTGCTAGAATTCAGGGAACAAAGCTGCAGATAGAGACACTGCACATCAAGAACAGCAATCAAAATAGGACAACCATCATGCTTTGGTGCAGGTTTATAAAGCAAAGTACTCAAAGTAATCCCATGATCTGCTGTTCTCGAAGGCTGCAACTTTTGATCATACTTTTGCTGGCATCATTCCATTGAACACGGAGTAACAAAGTGTTCTTTGCCCTCAGAGCGAAATTTAATTCTGGCCAGACTGATGAAATTGTCTCTCATACATGTACTGTCAATCTTTTATATTAAAGATTCAGACTATTGAGTAATGGGTTGGATGGAGACAGGAACACTGTAACGGAAATAGAGCAGTGAATTGGAGAATGAAAATAGTGCCAAAAAGTGAATCAGTCAAGCAAATGTAAAGTAGAGCATGAGGCTGAAGCTGATATAGCAATAGAGCAAGTTAATTTCCTCTTATCTAGCGACTTTGACCAGCAAAACCAGAGTGCTGAAGTGGATGAAATCATTCCTGCAATGGAGACTAGGAGCAGATAGGTTCCTGGGATTAAGGTTTGGTTAGAGTTTGGCAAAAAGACCAAGCTCAGTTCTATGCAGCATATATGCAGGGTTACCAATTCTGTTTTGGAGGAGGGTGAAAAATTCACAGTCTGACCACGTGACACCCTAAATCCCCATAGTTTGTAAATTGTCGTCTTGTACAGTTGTGTATGAAGTCACAAAAATCAGCAGGTCAGCCATCAGTGGGCAAAGAGGGTGGAAACTGCATGTGGATAGGGAGGGCATTGGCAAAGGGAAAAAAAAAATCAGTGATGCAAATCACTGGTCAAGAATACATTTCACAGATCTGTGTTGGGAAGTAGGCTATGATAAGATCTATGTCAGAATTAAGTGAGAAGTTTCGCAAGGATCATTCTTGACTTCAACAGCATCTTGATCCATCTTTTATGTTTTTGACAATGAGTTTCTCATTAGGCTGTGGTGAATTGCCAATTAAGGCACCTTGTTGCTGGCCCAACTCAGAAAAATAAGAGAAGTAGGCCATTCAGCCCTTTCAGCCTGCTCCAACATTCAATATGATCGTGGCTGTATATCCAACTCAATATCCCTTCCCGCTTTCTTCTCATACTCTTTGATCCCTTTAGGCTGAAAGAACTATATTAAAATATTCATTGTTTTGGCTTCAACTGTTTCTGTGGCAGCTTAAAATTGGTAACCAAGCTTCTGGTGCTTTTAAATATGTTGGTTTCGAGCTAAGGTAGGGCGAGTCTGATGTAATTTTACAACAAAAACAAAGTTGCTGGAAAAGCTCAGCAGGTCTGGCAGCATCTGTGGAGGAGAAAACAGAGTTAACGTTTCGGGTCCGGTGACCCTTCCTCAGAACTGATGGTGGCTGGGAAAACGTCAGTTTATATGCAGAAAATAGGGAGGTGGGTGGGGTAGGGAGTAAATGATAGGGTAGAGCCCAAAGAGAGAGAAGGACAGTTGGACAGACAAAGGAGTTGCTAACGATCAGGCTGGGAGGGTGAATAGTTGTTAATGGGGACTGTTAGTGACTAACAACAGGGGGTGTGTAGTGGCAGGCTATGTGGTAACAAGGCCTGATGTGTGGGGTGGGGGGCTGGGACATGGGAGAGTTTAGGCCCTAAAATTATTGAACTCAATATTGAGTCCAGAGGGCTGTAGGGTCCCCAAGCGGAAAATGAGGTGTTGTTCCTCCAGCTTACGTTGGACTTCACTGGAACGCTGTAGCAAGCCGGAGACAGAGATGTTGGCCAGGGAGCAAGGTGGTGCATTTTACAACAGTCTTCCTTAGAGTGTGTCAATCCCATCAGTTGTTCATGCGAGGACCATACAAAAAGATGTGACTACCCCAAGATAAAGTAGACCAGCCACAATCAGATAGATTAATTGGTTATGCATGTAAGATAAGACCAGATGCAAGCTTTGATGTGTTTGAAAGTAGTCTTGTGATGAGAAATCCAAAGGTTGGGGGCATCTCGAGAGTGAAAACAAATTTAAAACAATTAAAAAGATTTCTTCCTGAAATTCCCAGGGTGACCACAAGGACATGAAAATAAAAATGATCATTTTTAACAATGCCTTGTGTGCCAAATTTGCTGATTGATTTTCCAGTGCACATGGATTCACTATTTCTTATGGGAGAGAAATGAGAAGTTGCCCTTTGGCTTTGGAGATGAAGAAAATAACAAGAATAGGAAAAATCACACTGGTTACTGAAACTCTTGCACTTGTTGATTCAGAGGGCATGGCATTCTATTTATCCAAAGTTCTTGAAAGAAATGTTGCATGAAACAGGGATGAAGGAACCACAAACAAAGCTGTACAATGCTACATAGAAAATTGATTAGTTTAGAATAATGTACATTCTATGAAATGTGCGTATGAGAAAGACTGTGAATAGATCTAAAGCAAAATGTTACAGAAAATAAATATTCGAACTCATGGATAAATACAAGTGATCAATCATCAGAATATTTTCCCAAAAGGAACGCTTGAATGAAAAATTGATGGGAGTCTTGGAATAAGGAAGAATGTCTCAATATAAACTTTGGAAATGTGACATTTATATTTTTTAATGTTATTTTTTATAAATAAAATTTTATATATAATCTGCACCTATAAATATGTATTTTTGTTTTTTCTCTACTTAAAAGGAATACGGCAGTATTGTATAAAAAAAGGTTCCTTTTAAAAACGTGCTCAAGGAACAGATGATACTCATTACAGCATAATTTAAAGCATAGTTGTCTACACACACACACACACACACACACACACACACACACACACACACACACACA